CTGCCCATGCCCCAGACCCGGGGAAGGTGGTACAGCCTCTGCGGAGAATTGCCTCTAAATTGTCTCTGTTTGCTTCATGTGGTACCAGCTGCTTTTTAAATAAATGATTGTATCAGGTTATTATGGTACTTCCTCTATTCAATTCCTTCTACAGAGAAACTCGTTCTCCTGAAATTGCCTTCCCTCAACTCTATGATCATTACATAGCAAATTGCTTCAGGAAAGAGGCTGGAACAGGGCAGAGGCCGGTTTCGGCTCGGCGTGCGCCTCCGTGCCGCAGCAGAAGGCAGGGGGAGATGCAGCAGGCAGATCCCTGTGGAGCCGCCCCAGGATGAGGGCTGCCTGTGTCCTGGGAACGGCACGCCGCAGTGGGACACGGTGCACGGGGGGAGTCTGGAACGGGACAGTGAGAGGCTGCGCGGGGGCTCAGCGTGCAGTAGAGGACGCGAAATAAGTCATTATGATGAACATCGCGGCGATGACATGTCAAGCTTAGAGTAAAAACTTTTTACTCTGTGGAAATGTCCAAATAGGACTGGACATTTATATGAAATATGGAAAGATGTGTGGTTCCATTAAATGCATACAGGATATAAACCATCTTCCTTCATGTCAATACCTCCCACTGCCTGAGGTTAAACAGAGTCTTAGTGAATAATTTCCCATTATAAGGTTTGGGATATTGGCCTTGGAGACAAGATGCCAGGTGAGAGGGATGGCTAGTCAGATCTGGCATGGCAGGTCTTATTTCTTATGGTGATATGTGTGCGATGTTTTGTGAGTCTGAGATTAAACTCTGCCGTGACTGCAATGACAGGCAAGCTGTTTTACCATCCTTCCAGAGATGCCTAAATCCTGCTAGAGATGGTAATAAATGGGGATGCGGACAGGCAGATACTGTTGAAAAGGGGGTAGGAAACACTTAGGGGGTGTGGGGCTTAGAAGGCTGTTTGGAAATTTGTTATTGATCTGATTTTTTTTTTTTTTTTTCGAGCCACAGCATCACTGCTGGGAAAGCGCAATTGGGACATCCAGGGCTCATTATCCATTATGAGATTTGACTCGTACCAGGATTAGGCAGGTTTTAGGCAGTTGCTTTTGGCCTTTTCTCTCATTACAGGCTTACAGAGTCTGCCTTATCGCGTGGAGAAGCACTTTTATTAGATAGGAGCCTAAAGGGAGAAGTGAGGTAAGGAAGGAAATGATCCAGGAGAGGGCAAGAGGCTGGGACAAAGTGATGCCCTGAGGTGGTGGCCACGCTGCGGTGTTTGGTCCTGCCAGTGAGCCCTGGAGAGCTGTGGGCATAGCCTTCCTCAGGGCAGGGTGGGAGCAATCCGGGGATTTCTGTCAGCTTTCCTGCAAAGAAACATCAAGCACCTGCGAGCCGCAGCAGCGCTGCATGCAGCAGCACCCCCGGGCAGGGCAAGGTGGATGACAGCCTTTCTCCTGCGGAGCTCTGGGCTTTCTTCAAAGCCGCTGATGCGAAACCTGCCTGGACTGCCGCTGGGAGCGGTGCCTGGGAGGCTGCTGCTCGCGGCCCGGCCGAGCAGGAGAGGCTGAGGTCTCCTCCTGCCCCTACCGCCATGGACCCGGGAGCTGGGTGGGAGGTCCTGCTGTGTCCAGCCCTGGGGCTGTTGCGCTTGTGTGCTCAGAACATCTGACTTTCTCCCGCTCCGTGGTTAATCCGCAGGAGCACAACCCCCACCTGCTGCTGCTCCGTTTCCCCATTCGGTGTGGATCGCGCCGCGCTGGGGCACCCCTCTGCTCTCCCTCTCAGCTGTACTTGCTCAGAAAGCGATGAGCTGCCTCTGCCCGGCGCTGGGCTCCCATCGCCCTGTCTGTCACTGCACCAGTTTTATGCCACGCTTTCTACCAAGCAGATGGAACAGGCAGGAAACCCTGTGAGCTCCAGCTACTGGATTAAATAAACGATGCTTTCTCATTTACTGCCCCCCTCCGCCCCCTGCCCCCAGCTATTGCAGAGCGTTTTGCTTTAGCAGTCTAGGAGTACGGGATTAAACGTGCTTTTGTCCTAGATCAAATGAATCCTGCCTTGCTTGACATTTCCTTGGCTGCTTTTTATAGGGTCTTCTCTTCCTGGGTGCCTCTGGGGTAAGTACAGCGATTTTTCAGGCTCCCAGGGTTTTGCATTGGTAGTCTGCAACTTCACACTTGAGCGCTTCATATGTAAGAGCTTAAACGCTGGACCTCCCTCGGAGCACAAAACAGGAGCTCGCATATTGTTTTCAAAAGGGAAGCTCGCTTGGCACCTGGTAAGCAACAGAACCCTCAGCTTGGACGCCGTCTGAGGCATCGAGTCCGGCAAATATTGCTGGCAGCTCCCAGCCCTAATTAAAACTGAAATGCTGTTTTGCTCCTACCGGGGCTGTGCAGCTGTGACGGTCTGAATGGGAGAGCTCAGAGCTGCAGGAAGGATTTTACAGAGTGTTCTAGAGACAAGAGGCAGAACCTGTACCAACAAGAGATATGCTTTAAATCCTGGTGGGAGAAACTGATTTTCTTTTTTTTCTAGCACTGTTTCAGAGGCTTCGGGTCCCTCTGGCTAAATCCCCAAGGAAGAACCCAACTTTTGTATGGGAAAGGATGGAGCAGACTGAATACAGGCTAAAACAAAGAATTAAAGTAAGTGATATTCAGCAACTGGCTGTTAAAGCCGCTGTGAAAACTTCACCTGTTGGGCACATGGGCCAAAATGCACCCCAGGGGGAAAGCTTGTTGGGAGGAAACTAATTCTCCATTCATTGGTCCTGCGCCCAGCACAAAAGGGCACAGTTTGTGATGCTACCACAAAACCACAGGCAGCAGCCACAATCCACATCCCTAAAGTCTCCAATGATGCAGAGCCGAAGAGCTGGAGCAGCCAGGCAACCCCTTTTCCCGGGCCACTCTGTAGCGGGAGAATAAACTGCTGTTGGGAAGCGGGCTGCGAGGTCTGTGGAGCAGGGCATCTGCTGAGAAGTGGCTGGCTCGAGAGGAACCAAGCCCTGGGCTCGTTCGGGATTCCTATCCCAGCTCGGAAACGCCCAAGTGGAGTTTGCTCAAACGCTGAGTTGAGTTTGGAGAGGAACGCGTCAGGCTCAGGTGTTCAGTATGCGATTTTGTGTGCTAAGAAGTGACCTTTTCTTGCTCATCTCAGCAGAACTAACTGAATAACTGGAGTGAATGTTTGCGTGTTATTGCACAAGTTCAAAATACGTCATTTGGCAAATGGTGGTCCAGATCTTCACAGTGCTGCGCACACCCATGACTATCAGCTGTGGTGGTGCAGCAACGTGAGCTCACATCTGGCTTGTCACTCTGCAGCTGTGCTCTGCTTACTACTCTCAGGTGGGAAAGGGAAGTCCCATTCCATGGGAATAAGTTAGAAAAATGACAAAGGGAACGTGTCATGTTCATAGCACCTCTGCCACCTGGCAGGTATTCACGCAACGCGTGGGCATTTTAGCAGCTGTCAATGTCTCTAATCACTACTGCTGCTTTTTTTGTTTTATTTCTCTGAAGAAGCATGGAAAAATGATGAAAGCTAGGAGGAAGAAGCTACAGTGCTGTCCTCATTCCTACCTTTTACATCTGCGTGTCAATGTTTAATTTTGAGAGCTCTCATTTTAGTCAGTATTTTCTTATTGCAGGCAAGCAGAATTGATAGAAGTATTGATCTTCTTCTAATGAGTTTTAAAAGAAAAAAATGAGTGTGACTCAGAGTAGTGAAGTAGTGTTGACTGATTGATACGTCTTATTTTTTTACTGCTACTGCTGATGTATCTTTTGGGAATTTGCTCTTTTATAGTTTTCCCTGCACAGACTGATACTCGCGCATTCTGGTTTGTTGCTTGCAGGGAAGGTATTTGCATTTTGCTGGCTGTGGTCACAGATGCATCTTCATGTAACCTTGGCAAAGGAGGGCTTTCCAACAGCCCCAGTGGGCTGCTGGGAGGGGAGATGCCCTGAACTGGTCCTGCGATGGCCGGGAGCTGGTGCCCGGCAGCAGGGGTGAGAGCCCTGGCTGAGCCCTTCCCCTCCTCTGAGCCCAAATAGAGGGCGGCCGCAGCAAAGGATGCTCAGGATGGTTTCTGCAGCCTGGGCTGTTGCCTCACCAGTTTCCCCCTGGTGCTCCCTGGTCCTCCAGCACCATCTACAGTCCTCTGCAGATGGAGGAGATGCTCCAGTGCCACCAGGTACAGCCCAGCCACCACCAGGAAAGGGGCAGCCGCTGTGCCAAGACTGTGATTTGGGGGATGTTTACAGCCTTGTCCCGTGCCTCTCGGCTTTCTGGCCTGACCGCTAAATGAGATGAGGGGCCCGGAGAAGAAAAAATCCAAATCAAACAAATAAAGCCCCCCACTTTTCACACCAGCTGAGTGGGTGCAAGGCGCCGGGCTGTACAAGGAGCGGGTCACCAGGGGATCGTAGCCAGCATCTCGGCACAGGGCTGCTGCAGCCTGTGGCTCCCGCAGTGCTGGAGGGTCAACCTGCTCTCCCGGAGCCGGCGGCCGCTCCTGCTGCTCACCACAGCTGGGACTGGTGGCACAGCGCACACGGTGCCGTTCATCGACAGCACCAAACCTCAGCCTGAACCTGCAAGACGGGGCTATCGTGAAATATTCATAGGAGTTGCCTTGAGTAAATAGCATTAACAATTCATTGATATTTCAAGCAACAAGCCATCAGCCGTATCTTTTGGGGATGGAGAAGTACATAAATAAGAAAAGGCTGTCTGTCATGAGACAGCTATTTAAGTCTGTTTCAGCTGCTCTTTGTTTGTGAAACGTGCTGAAATCGGTACTCGGTCTCGCCTCTCCAGGAGGGGAAATTAAGCTTCTAACACACTTAATTGGAGAAGGCCACCTTAGTGTTTCTGGATGGGGTACAGTCAACCAGAGAAACAGCGCAGCGGGTGAACTGCACGTGCAGCCAGGCTGTGTGGCACACCGGGAGCCCGGGGCTCTCCACAGGGGCTCTGGACGCTGCTGCCGTTCCAGGACCCTCTGGTGGTGGTGATGGTGGTGGTGATCTCTGACTGTGCAGCTCGCTGCCTGGGTCGAATTTCCAAAATGACTTTTGAACTGGTATTTGGGCTCTGGGAATTCGACAACTTTCACAAACTCGGCTGCAAGTCTGGAGTGGTTTTGTTTGGTAACGAGGGTTGTGAGCAGACTAGGGCCAGGGTGGTCTCCAGTGCCAGGCAGGCAGGAGGCAGGTTTGTGCAGGAGGCGAGCTGTGTGTTCCGCTGCCCTGTGCCAGCAGCTGCCAGCGCTGCTCTGAGCTTGGCCTCTGCCCCGAGCCGGGGTGGGTTAGTGAGGGGAGCGTGGTGACCACTCTCTGCCAGGGCATCTACCTCCACCTCTGCTGTGGCCGTTTCACCCGTACCCGGGGCCTCCCAGAGCTTCAGCATCACTTCCCCCTCGCTTTCCTGGGCAACGTGACAAAGGCGATCCTGGTGCCCTCCCTGCCCGTGCAGCGTGCCGCCCGGGGACCGGCAGCACTCGGCAGCCTCGGGCTTGGCTACTGCAAAAGAGCACCTGCTGAGTCCGAGGAAGAAGAGCAGATGCAGCAGCGATGGCGATTTCTGATCCACCTCTGCTGTGAGAGCCCTGCATGGGTAAGAAAAGCGTCTCGTGCCCCAGTGTGGGAGAGCCGCTACCTGAGCCACAGGTTAGACAGCGTTCCCTTCCCGCAGGGTGCCAGCCGGGCATCTTTCAGCAACAAGAAATTACATGGAAAATCACAGGCTGAACTGAGAGGCGCTGTTTGACCTTTATTGCTCTCTGTGTGCTGCAGCCAAAAGACCACAGGGAAAATCCAGCGCAGCCGGAGGTGGGGCTGTTTCCCTGCAGAGGGGTGGGGAGGGCTGTGCTGAGCGATGGGGACCCCCCAGCAGCTTGCGGGCAGGAAAGTTGTCCTTTACACGTCACAGCTGGCGGGCGCTTGGCTTGAGATGCGAGGGTGATAAAGAGCAGCTGCAGGCTGGCTTTTCTGAGCTTTTCTCAGCTTAGGACATTTTGTTCCCCAAAGCATTGTCTCCCTGAACGTAACTGCTAACACGGAGTGGTCGGTCAGCATCCTTCCTGCCGCCTGTGCTGAGGGCTGTCGGTGCCCCGGAGCCCACCGCCGGCGGCCCCCTGATCGCACTGATGGCGGGGCCCGCCGCTGCTGCTCCGCAGCACTTGGTGTCTCATACGGCAGCAAAACAAAATAATGGGAAGGGGAAGGGGCGGGGGGGGCAGCAGCTGGAAGGTGGGTTTGAGAGCCGAGGCAGCTCAACAGCTGGTGGTCTCAGTCAGCGCAGCACCAGGGAGGGACGGGAGCGTTTCCCGGGGGGTCCCCAGCCTGGGCAGCCCACTGCTGGGAGCGGGGG